GTACCCATACCTGTGTACTGTACAGTAGTCCTCTACCCGTATCGAATACAAATACTCCACTTGCTGATTGCAACACAAAAAGGATGTTGTGTTCAATTACTTATATTTATTATTATAGCAACATATTCAAAACACCGAACGCAGCAACCACTACGGATCCAATCATCATCACAGATGCCCCCGTAGTTCCACTAATATCAGGGAGTGCCTCCTCAATCTTCTCACAGCACTGAGACTCAAAAATGAATTGGTATTCCCTACACCCGAAGTCCCCTGAAGCCAAATTTGCCGAAAATTCAAGACGCCCACAAGAGATTGTGCTGTTGTCCAAGCCGTCGACAACTTTGGCTGGATCAAACTTGTAGCCCTCTGTACAAATGCGACAGATGCTAGCGTCATATGTGTTGTTGCAACCACAGTAGTTCCCCATTGTTTGCTGCCAAATTGGGCACCGATCCTGGAAGTCTCGAGTGGCATCTACCTGTAGATTCTTTTCAGTTAGATACAAAACCAAACTTTCAGAAAACTTGAGGATGAAACGATGCATCTCAAACTTACCTGTAGCTGGGCACAGAAAGTTCCTGGAATAGCAGCCAAGGCACCCTCAGGAAGTGAACCTCCATCATCACACAACTTGCAATCATGATTTTCTGGGGGCTCCGCAGCGCAACGGCAAACATCTTCTCCGCGAGATTGCCAAGCTGTGCACTACAGTGTACACCAAAGATATTTCAATGCAAGCAAATCAATGTAAGCCTGAGTGTTTAGCTCGTAGATCTTCGAAGCGATCTGAATATGCACGCCTTGTACTATTTGCAACTTACATTTTCTGGGGGCAGACGAATATCTGTGTCAAAAGCTTCTTGACAGCTGACTACGCCACTATCCGCAATGAAAGTTCCATACGTATAGACTCCGAAGGTTTCATTTGCGCAAAGCGGACAGTCAATGTATCCCTCTGGTTCTGCCGAAAGCAGGTTGCCACTTGCATGAGCCACAAAGAGGGTAGCGAAAAGCGCTGCTACAATTGTCTGTTGTTTTGCAATCATCATTTCTTTGTATTTTTAAAAGAAAGAAATATCGTACCTATGCAAAATATGATGTCGGCAAGCAAAGATCAATCTTGGTTGATTTGAATCGGCGCGCCCGCCGCATTCGTGGGGAAAAAGGGGAGGGGAGTGGTGGAAACAAAGATCATATCGTATTGTAATTTGCAATTCGACAATAAGTCGCACACACACACACACACACACACGCAACACTACCTATCCACCCATGGCAGCAGAGAACTACCCTCCTCATTCGTCCTTTGCAGTGAGTAGTGTGGAGGATGAAGAAATAACCGAAGATGAAAGCCTAAGAAGTCGTATTATTAGCATAGTCAAGGATTCCGAGAAGTACACTATCCGACCTGCCAGATTATCATCCGAGCTTGGAATCAGCATTGACGAAGCTAATGCTGAACTTTGCGGCTTACTAAAGGCAGTTGGAAAGGGATCAAGCTTTCACTTTGAGGACGTCGGCGGTGTCAATTCGATGGTTTTTATCTTTCCACTTGATTTTGAAAAGCGGGCATTTCGCAGTGAGCGCAATGAAGACTTAAAAACGCTGCTACTGGTTGCCTTGCAAGTTGGAGTCAAAATTGCAAAAGTCCTGACTGCCTTTGGATTGATCTTATCCACTGTCATTGTTTCGATTGCGGGAATGGTTGCCTTGGTGGCCGCCTTGGTTGCACTGTCTCGTGGTGGTGGAGACTCTCGGCATGCCCGTGCCTCTGTTTCCAGACAGATACACCATTTGTTCATCACCGTACGGCAGCTGTTGTGGTGTTATGCAATGTTCGCTCCCACGGACGATGAGCAAGACCCTTTCTTTCGTGAGGCAGCATATGATACATGGCTAGTCTTGAGTTTGTGCTGTGGAAATCCCTCTAGCATGTGGTTTTGGCTACGGGCACGACATTTCCGACGTAGACGAAGACGGTATGCACGAGGATGGGCTTCAAACAACTACAGCGTCCTTGAAGATTCAACGTCTGATTTGGAGGGTGTCAGTCTGATACGGCGAGGAACTTGGGGTGAGGAGCAGCGCGTCCCTATTCCGCAAGCGACCGAAGAACGCCGAGGACTGTTATCTGTTGCTGTCGAATTTCTTTTCGGCCCAAATTCCCCTCCCAGTCCAACTGAAGAAGAAAAATGGAAGCTTCGCGGTGCGATTATTGTAGATAAGTCGCTTAGCCGCAACGGGTCAATCACACTGCGTGAATTGGCACCGTTCGTGGACTCTCCTCCTTCAAATTGGGAAAATAAAAGACAAATCATCTCTGAAGGACTGCTGATTATAGCTCATTTCAATGGAAAGCCATCGCGTGTTTCAAAAGATGGGGACGGAGATACATCAACAGCGGCGTTCGACTTTCCAGAAATCGTTTCTGAAAGTCGCTTTAGTACCCACTACAGTGGCCCGAGTCAAGAAGAGGTAGCAGTGCTGGAACAGAAAAGTCTTTTATTTGTCACTGAGAAGACGATATCATCCAGCAATCGAGATGAGCTCAACCCACTTCCAAAATTTCTGTACGAAGAGTACAAATCACTGACACAGCTCACTCAGAAGCAATTTCTCCACTGTTTTGCAGTTGCTCTTCTCAACCTTATTGGAGTAATTTGGTTCGCACAATCGCTGGAACCGGGGGGTATCCTTGACCAAAGCCTTGGACCGGTTTCGTCAACGCTGAGATGGTCGCTGATCCCCATCTTACTATTTTATGCCAAGTTTTTCTTTTCAATACCTGCTATGCGCCTGGTATACATCTTGATCTGGAACAAACGTTGTAGGCTTCGAAACAACAGACGCCGCAAGCTAGCCAAATTGCTTGAGGTGGAGACTAGCTAGCGAAAATTTCTTAACTGCAAGTTTGTGAGATCTGGTCTTCCTTCATTCCCCTATCCTGTGAGCTTGGAGAAAATGTACTGATCGCAGCCTTCTTGCAGCGCGGATTCGTGGGTACGATGTATTCACTGGTACCTGGTTGGTACTTGTACTGAGTGAGTTGTCTACTGGGCACATAGTACGGTTACGCTCAATGATGTTGAATAGTCACAGCAATGTCGAGCCAATCACAACGGATACCAATGCTGCTACTACCGGATCCCCAATCGAGAGGGACAAGATGTCTCAACGAAATCGGAAGCGCATGTACAAACGAACGAACAAACCGGAGCATTGGGATTCAACATTGCGAGACTTGCAACGGAATTGCTCGGATCGAAGAGTTCAAGCCCTGCAAGAACCCGCCCGGCTTCTGATTTTACTGATTCGAATGAATCAATATGTAAATCAATCATCCAAAAAATCGATCGATCTGATCCATTCTTTCATGATGATTCCAAAAAATGACTCGATATAGCTTCGTATCGAACATCGATCGTACAGTACAGTAGATATAGTGATCATGGCAGAAACAATAGAAGAGTCAAAAGATGCTCTGTTGGGAATGGACCCACCTTCGGAAGATGAAGATGTAGAATTGGATTACAAGTGTGGTGAATTGCGTATGCTGTCGGAAACGTTCACTGCCGTTGATGGAGACACTGCTTCCGAGAGCACAGTGTCGGCAGAAAGTGCTGGGACAAGAGGGAATTCCGGCGACAATCAAAATTTACAAGCAGTTTATGGTCCTCCACTGAGTAGAGATCAAGCCGCTGCTGCTGTTCCTGAAGGAGAGGTATGTACCACACCGCTCAGCATTTGTATTGACTGCTCCTTGATATATAGAGGTATTGACGCCCCCTGTTCCTGCAGAAAGGTTTAGTTTGGTACTCCATTGTGATTCCCGATGATTTTATTGTCAATGGAAAACTTGTTTCAGGACTTAACAAAAGAGATTTCGATTTGAGTACGCATGAAATCAAACCTAGGCGTGCATCGCTACCAGTTACGCGGACTCAATTATTTTCCGCTCTCTCTAGGATTGAAGGCAGCAAAGGACCAAGATATATCTTCAATGGTGTGCTGAACGGGTGGCCCGGATTGAGAAATTTTGAGCTTGTCCGCTTGGAGTGCAAAAGGTCATTAGGGCCCTTGACAACACCTGATTACTTGAACAGCTATCAATCAACTTGGGGTCACCATTGGAGTGTTGTACAAGAAGGTGCTGTTGGAGTTGCCCCACAAATCAAGGACAAAAACAGGATTTATCGGGCAACGCTAAGAGCCGCTCCGTGGACGCGAGAAGGATGGGCTCCTGGTAATCTTGGACATGTCTTTTGGTTTGAAGCGCAAAAAGAAATCCCGACTTTGACCTACGGATCTCCAATGGTGGCAACTGTGGGTGATGAGAAGTGCACAGCAGTGCATATGATTTCGCACCGCTATTATGTCGCCAAGGAATCCGCGAAGGACAAATTGACATATCACTCGGTGGTCCTGCTGGAATGGGAACATGGCAAATTCTGCACATTGGTTGAAGGTGCGTATTTGAATGGCATTGGAGGATACAAGGGAAAATCGAATTGGTATGATGATCGAGACGAGCCAGTGACCGCATTATACAAGGCTTTGCCTAAAGAAATGATACAACCTTGGCTCTCCAGTGCGTCCGAAATCCGATTGTATGATATTGCTAGCAAAAATTTAGATGAATTCAAACAGTACATCGAAAAGTACGCTGGTTCACGATTCACTGACCCTCGCTACACCTTCAGTCACCCGGCGCGGCTGTTCTACAGATCGAGATCACATATTGCACAATATCTTATCAACTACATTACCCGCGATGGGAACTACAGCGAGATCAATCGAAATTGTCAGACTCTGGCGGCTGATCTCTGCTCGTTCCTTGCTGGAAAGAAAGGGGTTGTGCCTTTTCACCCTGTCAACCGATTCGAATACAACAACCGTGCCCATCTGTTCCTGTACGAAAGCCAAATGTACGAGAACAAACACAAAAAGACAGGAATGAGTAGGATCTTTGGATAGTGAAGCAATATTTAAATCGAAACTATGGAACTGAAGTCTCAAATTCTTCTGTTATTCATCTGCTTTTGCGACAAATTTTCACATATTCTACAACTTTTAATGTATGTGTCTATATGATCCGAGTGCAAGACTCACAGGAAAAAACATCTCAAATCGACATTCCTCTAATTGCGTCTTTTCCATTCCATCGTTCTGATTCATTCAGTCATACATATTGTCGTCACCATCATCATTGCCACCGCCATTGTTCCCTTGGTCATTGCCGCCTCCTCCTCCTCCGAATCCAAATCCTCCATCTCCCATGGAATCCATCAGCAGATTGGCTGCCAAGGCTTCGTTCTTGTCACAGGCCAAAAAAGCTTGTGCCGCTTCGGTTCGGTCAAAACCCATTTCTGTTAAACGATCGACTGCTGCCATTTCTTCTTCGCTCAGTCTCAAGACTTGTTGACCGCCGCCGCCGCCGCCGCCACCACCGCCAAAACCTCCTCCTTGAGCCGCTTGCATCATGTATTGTTGTAGCTGTTCTGGTGGAATTTGCCCAAGCATTTGTGCTGTAGCTCTAAGTTGTTCGGGAGATAGACCCATCATGGCAGCCATTTCATTCAGATCGTTGGGGCTCATGTCTTGTAACATTTGTGCCATTTGTGCGGGGTTTGCCATGCCATCCAAAAGATCAGCTGGGAAACCACCTCCAGCACCAGATGGAGCTGAAGAAGAAGATGGAGCTGGAGCAGGTGCCGAGGGAGAAGATGATGATTCCGTGATTGGTTCATTCATTAGTGCCAAGAAGGCCTCTTGGTTTGCGTTGATCTCAGCAAGAAGTTCTGGTTGTTGTTGTCCAATTTGGGTTAAAACAGTTTGCAGCATTTGGGGATTCGACTGCACCAAGCGTCGTAGATCATTGAATTGTGGGTGATTTCTCAAGGCAGTTAGTGGACCTCCACCACTCGATGATCCAGCTCGTGGCGAAGCTGCTGCAGCTTGTTCCGATGGCTGCATGCCTGGTGGAATTCCATTGGTAAGAAACTCAACAGCGATATCAGGGTTTCCGTTGGCAGCACGGAGACAATGGCGAACTTCTGCCTCTGGAAAGCCCATCGTAGTGAGATTGTTGACAATTTCGGAGGGAAATTCTGCATCGGCAGCTCTTGTTGGAGCAGCTGGTGCTGATGTTGGGGCAGGAGCTGGTGCAGGGGTTTCGGCGGGTTTGGGAGTGGCAGCGGCTGGTTTGCTTTCTGCGGCTGCGGGTGTTTTGGGGGCAGCAGGTGCCGGAGCAGCAGCTGCAGCAGGCGTTGGAGAGGGTGCTGCAGCTGCCTTTTTGGGTTTTGTCATCATGACCACCAAGAAATCGTTCTGCTTGATTCCACAACTTTCAATGGTTTGATCATCTTTCAATACTTTTCCAGAATGAATAAGCTTCATATTGGCAGCGGACAAATCCGACTGTGCTGCTTCCTGTAAGCATTGTTGTAAATAGGTTGAATCGATTAGGTTTCCCATTTCAGATTTAGGGACGAGGAAGATTCAGACTGCATAACTATTCTACTCACGATTATTACTTTGGTTTCTGCAACCGTCTTGGACGGTTCACAGTCCACTTGGAACTTTCCTCCTTTCAGAGTTTTGACTGTCAACTTCATGTTTTATAGGAATGCACAATATGCGAATGTCTAGAGGAATGTATGCGAAAAGGTGCCAGTCACTCGATTGTCTGAACACCACCACAGTACTACCGGTAGTGTGATATGCTACAGTACAGTAATCTTTCTTTCACCTCAAAGTTCAGTTCAGTCGGACCATGGTCAATTTTCGACGCGCGATCGTGCGAAGAATGAAGGAAAAGGAACTGGAACGAATATGGAGATCCGACCCATTCGATCATCTTAACGTTCACCCCTACATCCGTGCGTCCCAACACCAAAACCAACCTGTTATTATTATCAGCAGAGGTCGTACTTCGTACTTCGTATTGTACTTGTACTGTACCTCTCCGTGAAAATTAAGGCCACAACCTTCTCAAGATTCTGTAGAGCTTAGCAATTAAATGCCTGCCATCAAAGGAACTTCTTCTGTTTCTGACCTGCGAGCACGTCGGAAGGCTCTGAAGGGGACTCGATTTCCAGACAACTTTGCTCAAGCTGTAGAGCTGGAGAAGGTGAATAAGCAAGTGTTGACTCAATGGATTGAGCACCGAGTAACTTCTATTCTGGGGTTTGAAGATGAAATTGTATCCTCCATGGCCATCAATCTGTTCCTGCCAGAAGAAGGTGAATCTCCAGATCCAAAGCGAGCCCAGTTGGATTTGGTTGGTTTTCTTGGTGAAGAAGAATCAGCTTCCTTTGCCAGAGACTTGTGGACGCTGATGTTGGAGGCTCAGGAAAATGCAACTGGGATCCCTAAGACTCTGTTGGAGGAGAAGAAAAAGGAGCTAGCCGCAAAGAAAGCCGAATCGCGCGCTGCACAAGGCGAGGGTCGCCGTGATCCCGACATGAACCGATATCTACAAGAAGCAAACAGAAGAGCAAATGCTGCCAGAGGCGCAATGGGTGGCGTCCATGGACGACGACATGACCAGCCTTCGGTACCAGTGAGTCCGCCCCGTTACGAACGACAATCATCAGAAAACCGAAATGGGCGTCGTCAACATCAACCTGACGAGAGAAGATTGCCCCCCGCACATCGCCGCCCAGGAGATAACCCTCCGCATCCTGGCCACCAACATCCTGGAAGATATGATAGAGATGGCCCTCGAATGCCACCAGGGCTGCCTTACGGATTTGACAGGAGACACGAGAGGCATATGAGTCGCAGTTTCAGCCCAGACAGGGACCGAGACCGAACTCGATGGGGTAGAGAAGAAGGGAGAAAAGATGACGATCGCGGGCGAAGAAATGAACGGCCTCGATTTTATGACGAAGAGGATGAAATGCGATTTTTGGAACGTCGTCTTGGTTCTCTTCGGCGGGAATACTCGAACAGACCCAATGATTATGCTCTGGGCGATGAGATTGATGATATTAACGATCGACTGCATGAATTAGACCGTCGGATGAGACGATATCGACGAGGAAGAGACGAAGACGACTACCGCCGAAGAGGAGGACGAAACTCTCCACGACATCGCAGCCGAAGCCGGACACCCGAGATCCGTCGTCGTCGTTCTAGGAGCCGAAGCCTTAGTTCAGAATCGAGGAGCCGGCGTCGTCGCCGCAGTCGAAGCCTTAGTTCAGAATCGAGACGAAGTCACAGCTCTGTCTCACGCTCGAGCCGAAGTCACTCTCGCGAGCGAGGTCGAAGACGAGTGGAACGGCGATACTCCTCTGAGAGCCGATCAAGTCGCCACTCGGATTAAAAGTAAAGTACAACTGAAGTCTATGCTAGTGAAGTGAACCACAGAGTCCTCTCTTATGGAAATATATCATCTAGTATCCCAAGGTACAAGAGAACCAACCATGTAACCCCAACTAAGAAACTTAAGAAAGCAGAGAAAATTTGAATCTGAAATTCGATATACATCCTTTTGCCCAATCTGGAGGAGATAGTACCGTATATCAATGCAAAGCAGCCCATCGTCAGTGTTGAACTGAGGCAAAAGCACCCCATGTACATTGCCGCGAGTTTCAAGTTGTGCATCTCGACAGCAGGAATCACTCCTAGGACTCCCCCAGGACCTGCAAATCCGTGGATTGTGCCAGAAAGAATGGCAAGCGACCTTATTGACAGATTGCGATTGCAACCAAATCCTGCACAGCAAGACTTGTGACCTAATGATTCTTCTCCCATTGATGCTTTCAATGTATCACTTTTATTTACTGCTTGCTCAAAAGCATGGAAATGGCCCATCGGATCATTTTGATATGAAACATACTTCGCTTCGTCCTCCAGCGATTGGGGTTGCTGCAGCTTTTGTGTCACAATTTGACCCTCCTCATCCCTTTTGTTTGAGCCGTTCGTCGCCAGGTTTTCTTCACGAAATGTCCGTCTCTTTTGAGAAGCCTGGAAGAAACCACGTATGCCCAAGAAAACCATGAACAAGCCAACAAAAGATTCGCAAATATTCGAAACAACATCCGGGACTTCAATGTACGTGTTTTCTGTCGAAATATCTCTAATCAAGAGTATGGATCCAACCAACATTAGACCGAAACTGTGGCCAAATCCCCAACGTACACCCAACCAAAATGAAACGAGGCCGTCTGATACTTCGGAACTCAGGGTGGCGAGGGCGGAGAGATGGTCTGGGCCAGTCAAAACATGTACGACGCCCAATGCGATTCCAGTTCCAATGACTGCGAAATCAAAAGCGGGTATCTCTGAATCTTCTTTCATCCCTTCGTCTCGATTAATCTAACCTTAACTGACTGAATGTGTTCAAATCTAACCTTGGGTGTGTCAACAAAAGTTTTGAATTTTCGAAAAAGACGATCTTTCATTCGAAGTTGTCGAATAACCGTGTTCGGGTTTGTCATGTCATGTTATGTCATTTTGAATTTGTCATGTCAATACTAGGCAGATTATATTCAATATCAACCACTAATATTATACATTCATTCTTATGGCCTATGCCTTTGCTCTCTATCCACGATGACAGAGAGCCGCGGAAACATCTATGATGGAAATTTGGCTTACGCGTTCTTGTTGCTTTCCTTATCGATCATCGGTCGAAGGAGCTGGTTAAATATCACCTTTGCGCCCATCGTATCTGGGTGACAAAGCCAAATCATAATGCCCATCTTCGCGCTAAAATAATAAGGAATGTGCATGAAAACAATTGGAAATAGTCCTTCGATCATGTTCAACGATGAGTATACCAGCCAGTACGTCATCCACTGTACTGCATCTTGAGGGGCAACAACTGGGTCGTATTGAAGCGTCATGTATGCTGGGTACAACAGACCAAGCACGTCAATCATCAACTTCAATCCACCATATCCCAAAATGAAGCTGAAAATCAGAAAGATGGCAGCGACAAGTTTGGCTTGGTCGGTTTCGTCTTCCATTTCTTTCAAGATTTGTTGGCATTGAGTGCGGCTGCCGCTGTCTTCAACGAACAAAGCATCCATAACAACATATCGAAGTTTCTTATCATTGATCATGCTCATGTGAGTAGACCGCTTCTCGGATTCAATAATTTCTCGTTCTAACCCTCCTGGGATAGTCTGCCACGATCCAGTTGGGAGAGACTTATCTCCAGCTGAAGTTACCTTCGATTTTGCTACAGAGATCACCTTTTCATCCTTGTTCACTTCAAAAGCATTGTGTGTTGCAATTTGGTCATTTCCATAGCATACAATTTTCAAATGTTCGTATGCGCTTGCATCTTTATCAAGGTACGACGGATCACTCGGATCTCGGTTGCCACTGCGAACAAAATGTTTTGTGCGAAATCTCTTTGCAGCATCAAGGCAGTACTGAATGTGAGCTTTTTCCTCCAGAGTAACTTCTTCTTTCTTCCAAGCAAAGATTCCGAGTGAGTATTGTTCCCACGTGAATACGTTGTGTAAGTCGATGTCGCTGAAGGAGCAGAAAGTGCCGTCTGACTTGACTAGTCCAGTCTCGGATTGTCCCTCGAGCACAGCTTCTCCTCGCACAGGAAGGAAGGAATACAAGCCTGCAAACGAATATATAGCTTCCTCTGATAATGCCTTCAAGATAGGTTTCTTTGCAATCACTTGCAAAAGTTCATGAGTCAATCCAAGATTGAGCTCCTTCAAATGCTTGGTGCTTCCATAAAGTGTCCAACCAGCCGCATTGACCCATGTTGAGAACCACTCAGGGTTGCTGGAGATTGTAGGCCAAGTAATCATCGCTCCGCATCCGTGAGTGATTAGTGTCGCTTTTCTGTCGTCTTCTTTGCAAATGGAAGCAATTTCTTCTGCTACCAACTTTTCCGTTTCTTCAAAAGTGCGTCGCCAGTCCCACACAACCTTGTGCAATTCAATTAGACCATTCTGGTCAAGTCCTTCTAAGAAAGTCAGCATTTTTCCTTGAACACCTTTCACACAATCATAAGCATAGATATCATCTTCGTCCTGAACATAATCCCCATCCTCGTTGGTGTCCCAGGAAACTGGAAGAGCAAGGTCTTTATGACCCGGCTTACCGTGCAGTGCAGAAACGATTCCAGAGACTGGAGGATTCCATTTCCTCTTTCGGCCACCTTCCAAAGGCACTAGCTTGGAGCCATACAAGCCAGGAACGTAAATGACTAGTGGCTTGTTTGGGTCCTCCATCGTCAATGATGTTGAATCATTAATTTTTAAATTAATCAATCACCAACCGGTACATGGATGAGGTTCCGAAAGGAGAAATACTCCAGTTCCCAACCGTTTGAATTGCACGCCTGCAAAATCCGGGTTCCTCCACGCCTTGAAGTCCAAAAATGAGATCAATTTTAATATATACCGTATGCGTGTCGTTGATGTGACGTTTGCTTTCGATTGCCTCTCATTTTATTTTTCAAATCACTACTGTATTTTCCATTTGTAGAACAAAAAACTTGGTCAACATGAAATTCGCTGCTGTTGTTCTACTTGCTCTCCCTATGGTTTCTGGATTTGCTCCATCTGCTAGATTCGATGCTGAAACTGCACTCCGAGCTGTTGTGACTGGTCCGAAGGGAAAAGCTGCATCTTCAAAGGAAGAAGACATTGCCCTAGCCTTGCAAGTTATCATGGATCACGATGCAAGATCAACCACGGTTTCCAAAGAACAGTTCATCCAGCAAGTTCAGGCTGCATCGAAGGTTGAGGAAACAGTAGAGGAAGTTGATATTTCCATTCCATACGACGCAGCTGCTATGCTCGCATATGAAGCCTCAGATAAGTCCAAGTCCTTTGACGACTTTAAGGCTGCATACCTAGCTGATTCCGTGGCTTATGTCAAATCAAAGCAACCGATCGATATTTCTATTCCATATGACGCAACTGCTAAGCTAGCTTATGAAGCGACTGACAAGTCTATGCCATTCGATGCATTCAAGACACAATATCTTGCAGATGCCGTTGCCGATGTTATTGCTAAACAACCAATTGATATTTCTATCCCATACGACGCTACTGCTAAGCTTGCATATGAGGTCAGCGACAAGTCTATGCCATTCGATGCATTCAAGACACAATATCTTGCAGATGCCGTTGCCGATGTTATTGCTAAACAACCAATTGATATTTCTATCCCATACGACGCTACTGCTAAGCTTGCATATGAGGCCAGCGACAAGTCTATGCCATTTGACGCATTCAAGATGCAATATCTTGCAGATGCCGTCGCCGATGTTATTGCTAAACAACCAATTGATATTTCTATCCCATACGACGCTACTGCTATGCTTGCATATGAGGCCAGCGACAAGTCTATGCCATTCGATGCATTCAAGACGCAATATCTTGCAGATGCAGTTGCAGATGTGAAGGCAAAGCAATAGGTCGTCCTCTCGAGGTGCTGCGGGGCTATCTAACTAAATTTCGTTCATAGCAAAGGCTGCGTGTTGTAAATGTACATAGTCAATGAAACTTTCACACTTGTTCCATGCTGTGTCATTAAAAAGTCCTAGCAAAAACAGTATTATGCAACGATATACTTTGCGCAAAACGTTCAACGACAGATCATAGCTGCTACCGGTATGGTACAGTACCTGGTATGATTTTATTGAAAGATACCATATTTATGCTCGGAGTAGTCGAAAACATTCGTGCCGGATGTACGACAAACGTTTGTGGACTCAAAACCCCACAAAATGTGGTTGTCGAAGGTCACACATTTTGTACGGTATCTCGACAATGAAGATTCACCTTATTTCCGTCATCGCAGCGTCGTGCCTCACATGCGGCACTGCTTTTTACGTGCCAAAATATATGCAACAGGCTCCATCACTTCAAAAATGCAGTGAGGTCGCCCAGAGAACAAAGGCAATGAATTGGTTGGAGTCTCGTTTGCAAAGTGCAACAGATGATGCTGCATCTGACAATACGCTGACAGTTACACCAATCAAAAGTTTGGACGGTACTGTCACTCTTCCAGGTTCAAAATCACTTAGTAATCGCTGTCTTCTGCTGGCTGCGTTGAGTGATGGCAGCACCAAAGTTGACAACCTTCTGGAGAGTGATGATATTCGCTTCATGCTTGAGGCTTTGGATCAATTGGAAGTACCAGTGGAGCGGCACTCTGCCGAATCTGTTACAGTGACCGGACAAAACGGTCCAATCAACTCCCCCTTGAATGAAGATGAGACAAACGAGCTTTTCCTTGGGAACGCTGGAACCGCCATGAGACCTCTTGCCGCCGCCCTATGCATGGGGCAAGGAAACTTTGTTCTAGATGGAGTTCCAAGGATGCGAGAGCGTCCAATTGCTGATCTTATTGATGGGTTGCAACAACTTGGTGCCGATGTATCATGTGTAGCGGAGACTGGTTGTCCCCCTGTAACCATACACGCAAAGGGATTGAAGGGTGGGAAGGTACAGATGCTGTCGTGTTATTGTTTTTATAAATGCTTTGTAGTGTAATTTTCTGACTTGAGCTCTCCAACAGGCTTCTATCAGTGGAAAGATGTCATCTCAGTTCCTCTCTTCTTTGTTAATGGCTGCACCTGTTGTCGACGGAGATGTTACAATTGAAATTAAGGATGAATTGATATCCGCACCTTATGTGGCGCTTACTATTGGCCTCATGAAGAAGTTCGGTGTGAATGTCGAGATTGAAGGAGACATGGACGGAAAACCGTCTTTCCACATTCGCAGCTCGGAAAAGTATATCAGCCCTGAAAGTATCCTTGTGGAAGGAGATGCGAGTTCAGCAAGTTACTTTATTGCTGGCGCTGCTATTACAGGCGGTACCGTGACTGTTCGTGGATGTGGATCGGAAAGTGTTCAGGGTGACGTTGCTTTTGCAAATGTTATGGAGCAGATGGGGGCAAAGGTCGAGTGGGCACCTGAAAGCATTACAGTCACACGAGATTCTTCCGTTAAACTGAAAGGAGTTGATGTGGATTGTGGAAAGATCCCCGACGCTGCAATGACTCTTGCTGTAGCTGCTCTATTCGCGGAAGGGCCAACTACAATTCGTAATGTATACTCATGGCGACTGAAGGAAACAGAGCGAATGAAGGCAATTGTCGCTGAATGTACAAAGCTTGGAGCCAAGGTAGAGGAATTCGAAGACTATTGCATCATTCACCCTCCGCCTGATAACAAGATCAATGACAATATCCTCATCGAGACTTATGATGACCACCGAATGGCCATGACTTTTAGTCTTGTGGCTTGCGGTGGTGTCAATGTTATCATCAACGACCCTGGTTGTACGGCGAAGACTTTTCCGACTTACTTTGACATGCTGGAAGGAATTGCTACTCATTAGAATTAGAAATACTTCTACTTATTTTTTTTCAAAAATAGATAGGGGGTTACTCTGGCGGGCGTTCCACCCCTTCAACATGAGCCCAAGGTAGAGCTGATCTCCAAAACACTTCCAAAAGCGGCCAGTCAGGGTCAATCATCTCGGTTGGTGGTCCTGCAAATCCTTGTTGTTGTGCATTGGCAATCATTTCCATCATTTGGTCGTCTCTCCCACCTTGTGCAGCTCTCTGCATGAATCTTGGGCGGTTTGTTTCGACATTCATGGCGTGTGCAACAAGCCCTCTATCCAAGGGGTTCGCCTCGGCTGGCATCGTTTGAAACCTGTCAACGAAATCTACAGGATCGCAATTAGCGTATCGAAGGAGAGCAGGGTCCAAGGGCTTCACTGGCTCTTCTCCCAACTCTTCGATACAAGAGAGCATAAAAGCGTGAATATTCGATAAACCCCAAAGCTTGAAGTTGGAATCCACAAAAATTCTAATAGTAAGATCGTGGGCCTGGGCTATCCTTGACTGGATCTCTTTGCTGTCTCCAACGGCACTTGAAATAGCGTTCAAGACAAGAATGGATCGCTCTTTTGTGTACTGCAGACCTTTCTGGAATGTAGCACTGGACACGTCAACATCATTCTTTGAAAGGATTCTCTCAAAAACTGATGGGAAGTTGAGCAGCGCCCTTTTCATTGCACCCTTGGCTTTATCCTCTGATTTAGTGGTCTGTTCTCGTTGAAAGTTACGGTAAAGAGCCAGGGCATAGGAATATGCCAAGTTTGGGAGGCTCTCTAGCTGACATTCGTATTCTTTTGATCCATCCTCGCGACGTTCGAAAATACTGATCGTTTCGCTCTCCATGAAATCAACAAGCCATTGATCATCTTCCTTCGTATTTGCGAGTGTGACAAAGTGATCCAAAACTAAAAGCATATTCTTGGGATCTCGCAATGGGTCCAACGACAGCAAAAGTTTTGAGTAGGCAAGTCCAGCTCGTGGAAGACCAGCTACGTGGCAGATTCTAACCATACGGAATAGGGTCTCGAAGAAAGCTTGGTTTTCCTGTAAATCATGGTCCATAAAACCAAAAGTCTTCTTTATAAATGAATTCAAGAAGGAGCACTCGTAAACCCAAAGTGCCCGCTGGATGAGAACGTGCCCTTCCTGACTTTGACTCGTTTGGTATAAAACTGTTGACAGTTGCAACAAAGCATCAATAGAAAAAGGATGATGGGCGCAAAAGAGAGCCAACATATTGACATCACCAGACATCTGAACGCGTCCAAAGTCTCTGCAATCTCGCTGATAAGAGTCAGAGTATTGGAAAGAAAAGCACTCGCTGTCTGGTGCACATCTTTCGTCTCCAGTTTTCAAGTCCGAATATGGCCACGGCAGTTGTCGAGGGGCACTTTCATAGGTTACCATTCCAATTCCCCCTCCAACATATCGGGGAGCTCGTGGCCATCCATCTTTTGGAGGTCCAAAGAGGTTCGCTTGTCTCCCGCGACGATTTCCAGCACGAGAAGATGCTTCTGAGTCGCCACCTCCAAGAAGAGAGGTTCTCATCACAAAGTCAAAATCCAAATCTCGAAGATCGATTGACGACGTTATAATGTCGAACCATGGAGCTGAAGTAGAGCTGTTTTCGACCTTGTTCGGTGCTTCATCATCCTGCAGCTTAAACTCGTTGAGGATTTCGTCCAAGTTTTCTTCTCTTGGTGCAACACCAGCTTTTTGATCACTTGATTTTGATCTTTGCTTCTGTATTACATTTTCGCCCGCATCATATTTGGCCGACGCATCATCATCCTCCTCGTCTCCACTCTCACCATCCGATGACGATGAAGATGATGAGTTATCCATGAAGGATGCGGCAAACCCACTTGATCTTACAGGTGGCCCATCATAGTCATCCTCAGTATCTGAGCCGTCATCATCTCGGGCTGTGGATTCTCGTTCCTCTCGCAGGCGCTGGATTGCACGATAGCTCATGGATAGATTGTTTGGATTGTTGGATGGGTGTAGCACAGCAGCTGTTTTGTGGTGCTTGTTTTGTGTCGAGAGTCCAAAAGGAATTTCAGTCAAATGGAGAAACCGAGACTATGTATGCAAAACGATGAACTGCAGTTTCATCATTTGAAATTGAAAGTCTGAATGTTAAAGAAAACTGCTGACTCATTATCTTAGTAGCAAGAAGAACAAAAAGAAATGTAGAAATTTTTGGTGCTAAATTAAATCGTCTTCCCTGGGCAACTCTATCCATTTCCTGCAGCACTGACACGAGGAATGTCGTTGTGTTCTGTCAGAGACCCAAGCTTCTCATTTAGTTCTTCAACTCTTTCTCGATGCGATTTTTGCGCAATCTTTTCACTCTCTTGCCTTTGCCGTTCAAGCTTGAATTTCCGTGCTCTTTTCTCTGCCTCCGTTAGGTCTTCCTCGTCCTCCAAAACATCACCCTTAATTTTCGATTCTTGTTCTTTACGATCATCAATCTTGCGCTTCGATTTTTTCATCTTCTTCTTTGCCTTCTTTTTATCCCCCTTGAAGGACAATGAGCCTCCCATAAATTCTGATCTCCCCATGGTTCCGTAATTTGATGATTTGTAAGTCTTGGTTGGCGTCGCACTGACTGCAGCAGATGAGATGGAAATGAATCGAAATGAAATGGGGATACGTGGATTTACAAAGGGGGAAGTCACATTTTCGAAAACCTTCGTCATTTGCAAAATTCTTTGGCGCGCTTTTTTTCAGCATTTTTCTCAGACTCCCTCAACCCGACACAACAACGGCTAAACCAATCGACGACTCGATGCTTTGGGTTGACAAACACCGACCTTCTTCGCTGACCGCGCTAAGTTACCATGGTAGCATTAGCCAGCGGTTGGAATCTTTGGCTCAAAAGCCTGAAAGTCTTCCTCATCTGTTCTTTTATGGTCCATCTGGATCGGGCAAGAGAACTCGCATCACAGCTCTTTTGGGAGCGATCTTTGGATCTTCTGCAAATCGACTTAAGTTGGATCAGCGAACGTTCACCACGCCTACTGGACGTACCGTCGAGATCCATATGGTGACCTCGCCACACCACGTTGAGCTCAGCCCTGGAGATGCCGGCAACAATGATCGGTTTGTGATTCAAGATGTCCTAAAAGAACTCGCTGCAACCAAAAACATTCGAAGTTCTGTCGCAAACATGGACAAAGACAGCCAGCAAGCAGATGCTGCTGCCGAAATTAAAGTGGTTGTTTTGAATCAGGTTGACCGTCTCTCCAAGCAAGCCCAAGCTGCGTTGCGTCGAACAATGGAGAAATATGCCGCTACCTGTCGGCTTATTTTATGCTGTGACAATCCTAGCAAGTTGATTGCTCCATTGAGATCCAGATGTCTAGGAATCAGAGTACCTGCCCCTTCGATAACCGAGGTAAATGTTCTTTTGTAAGAATAAGGTACTTCTTGCAAAGTGTCCTATCTTACACGTTTATTAATTTTTTTTCATTCAGATTGTAGGAGTTTTGAATGCAGTTGCACAAAAGGAAAATCTGACCCTTAGCGATGCATTTGCTGAAAAGCTTGCCAAGGAGAGCAATCGTAATCTACGAAAGGCTTTGCTGATGCTCGAAGCAGCAAAAGTTCAAGCTGGTGGGAACCAATTGGGAGCTGATCAAATTCTACCATCCACTGACTGGGAATTGTACATCTCACAACTGGCCCAAGATATCACCAATGAGCAAAGTCCCTCGCGACTTATGGCAGCTCGTGAAAAGCTGTATGAACTTCTAGTCAACTGCATTCCCGCAACCACAATTTTGAAGAAACTCACAGGGGAATTGATCTCCAGTCTCGACGACTCGCTCAAATTGGAGGTACTGGAATGGGCTGCCTTCTACGAACACCGAATTGCAATGGGAAGTAAGGAGATTTTTCATTTGGAAGCATTTGTGGCAAAGTTCATGGCTATTTATAAAAAGTACCTCAATGACATGTTCGCTGATGATTTCTGAAAGCACTATTCTTAAATTGCAGATTACCAGCAATTACATAAACTATTCAAAACTCAGTACTTTCTAGAGTCACCCTTTCTTTCTTTCGTTTCTCACCCTTTGCTTGTCCTTCAACATCACGCGGAAGTCTTCCATCAGTTGTGCCTCCTGCTGCTGTTTCTCCTCCATGGTAATGAGTGCCAACGCACGTTGTTCTTCAGCGGAATATACTTGGTTCTCCTTTCGAATACGAACCGCATTCATGCGTTTATGTCGAGAACCACTCATCACATACCCCGAATTTTCAAAATGTTCAATATCATCTCCGGAGTATCCAATTTCTCCTCTTCTCGGAATACGTAGGTTCTGTTGCACATATTGTGCAATTGCTTGACCTTCTCCGGGCAACAAAGCCCCACCATAGGCAGCATTGCCCTTGGGATCAGTGCCACCGGCAGCATTGGATTGTGGCAGTGGCATTGGCCCTTCTTCCTCATCAGACATGACCTGTTTGCCTTGCACAGCGCCCTTAAGGTCTTGAGCATTTTTGAGATCGGATTCCTTCCATTCTTCTGGAATGGAAACGTCTTGCGAAGCTTCCGCCTTCGGAGGTGGGCTTCGTCGACTCTTGGAAGATGATGACGATCTTGAGCTAACACTGCGAGATCCAGTTGGTGATTCTGAGACAGAACCACTATCACTGCTGTCGTCACTGCTATAATCACGCCGCCGACTTCCTCGGCCACGCCTAGAGCTTCTCCGATCACGTGAACGCGGACGGTCTCGGGGTCGCTTTCGATCCCCTCGCCGGCGACGACGCCATTGCTCGGTGGAGGTGGTACTGTCTGAATCCGAGCTTCCAGTGGATGACGATGAAGCTATTGATTCCTCGTCTTGCCTCTTGTTTTTCTTGATTAGTGCTTTGGAAGGAGGCTCTGGACTTGTGGACCAAAGAATTCGCATGTATTGCGGACAGTGCTGTGTATGCGCCTCTGAACCGGCTCGCCAGTCAATATGGTATGACATATACATTCGTCTACGATCTCTTGCCCTTTCAGTACGCTGGCGTTGTCCTATTGGCCTTCCCCTACGACCTGAAGATTGTTGCGATGCGATTTCCCGCCCAACATACGTTCCCCTATCTTGATTGACATCAACCAAACTGAGTCGTATTCTTTTCTGACGGCGATCTTCTTCGACACTTAGAATTACAGCATATACTTTGTCCTTCAATTGCACAACATCTTCTACCTTTTCGACCCGGCGAGGTGCCAGCTGACTTATGTGCACCAAACCACGATGGCTCTGTTCGTTCTGTTTGTCCATGAACTCAACAAAAGCACCGTAGGCTTCGACTCGAACAACTTCCCCATGGACGATATTTCCAGGAAGAAGTCCTCTCTTCCCATCTTCGACATGCATTTCTTCCCCTGGACCATAATGGCCACCATTTCCAGAGGATGAACCATTATTGGGACCAGCGTTTCTGTTATGGCGGTCTTCATTTTCGAAATGCCGACGGCGGTCTCCATATTTTACACTCTTATCTTTATCACCGTTATTGTCCCCTCCTCTCCCATGACCGTTCTTTAATGCCCTACCAAATTCATCTCTCAACATGATGGAGTGACAAATGTTACTGCGGTTCCGGTACAGTTGATGGTTTGTGTAAGGTGAGTAAACTGACGGATGACGGACTTTGTGATCCTGAGAAGGACCTTGGTCGGACTAGTCGATTGGCGATCAGTACAGTACATATTACATGCTTGCGCTTGTACCGGTATCGGTACGCCCAGCCCCTACGAAGACTTTTAAAACCAACCAGATTCAAGATCGACTGCTCCTTACAGTACCAGTACCAGGCATCAATAAAATCCGTTGGTTGGAAGGAAGAAGAATCGAATTACCAATAGTCTACGATAACACGATGGCTGGCAAAGAAGGACGCAAAAATCGACGCGGTGCGAAATCTCCGGCAGCCAAGAAGAAGCCAGAGAAGCAAGTAGTGAAGAAAGGCAGGAACGCCAAGAAGGGTGACACGACAGCTAACAAAGGTGCCAGTGGTCGTGGCAGATCCAAGAGCCCAGTTCCCAAGAAGAACGCACAGAAGCAGAAACAGCAGCAAAACAAGAAGCAACCGCAGGTAAAGGGGAAGAATAAGAAAGGCGGCAAGCCGCAGCCCAAGAAAGAAAAGCCGGTATCAGCTGAAGATCTTGATCGTGGAATGGACGACTATTGGGCCAATAGCAAAGATAAGGCTGTTGTTGAAAAGAAATTGGACGATGACATGGATGGCTACTGGGCTGCCAAAAAAGAAGGGGGGGAAGACGGAGCAAACGAAGACTCTGCGGTTGATGCCGATGCCGATGCTGATACCGATGCTGGTGAAAAGAAGGCCAACGACAAAGAAGCCGGTGAAGCTTAGAATGATTGCTCCCTTTCAACTGGATGAATTCCGAGGAGTTGATCAAACTTATGAAATATAAATGCGTTATTACGACGACAGTCTGATCATGAACATTGACCATCCTGGTCAAATCTGAATTGGAAGAAACCACATCAATGGAGACTCCCCAATTGGATGATGCATTGCATCATCGAGATGATCCCCATATCTCCTATGCATTCAAAATTGGTGAAAACTGCACATCTCTATAGTTTCAGGTGATAACGAGCATTTTCGCAGTGAAACAATGTCATGAACGTTGAATTGATTACTTCAAAAGTTACTGGCTGCACGCGTTCCGGAAGATCTCAGGCAAGCGATTGCTGTCATGTCAAAACCAGACTGGCAGCTCGTGTTGGCTTGTAGCTTCTATTTTATTTTGCCGTCCATTTCCATTCCAAGATGGCTTCTACAAGTAAGTACAAGGTATTATAATACCTGGCGCTGTGTAACCAATTACGGCGCCTGGTACACGTGTACCTGGTACCATGCCATACTGTACCAACCACGATTGATTAGTTCGAACTGTTCGCTGATGAGACAGAATGACAAAACACGAGTTAAATAACGGTATCCTACCAACGTCACATAGGACTTCAGGGCCGAACGAAGAAATTATGATCCTCCGAGTGAACGAAGCGTAGATCTTCATGTGCTGTGCAGCATTGATGCTGTCACACGTGCTTTAATCGTTGATACAATACTGTACTTCAACAACTAGTGCACACCGGTTTAGACGGTTTGTCAATAACATAAAACCAACATGGGTGTCAGTAGCAGCAAACAAAACACGGATGATACTGACCGGATCCTTGTTGCTGGCAGGCCCGCCATCGACCGTTGTGACAACATGATTACAACAGCCAAGTATACAATCTGGAGCTTCCTCCCAGTGGTATGTACAATAGAATCGTCATGGGTTTTCTTAATCTACCGGATTCTTCTTTCTTCCAAGGAATAAATGTCAAGTGATTGGCCAAATAAAACGCCAGTGTCTTGGAAAACCGAAATCTCTTACTGTATTCTTCATTTCTGCCTTCTAACTCCTCGTTGTTTACAATTCCCGCAGGCGCTTGGTGAACAATTTCGACGATTTGCAAACATGTATTTCCTAATGGTCGGATGTATCATGGCAGTTGGCTACTATACCGATCTTTACGAATCTGCACTGACTCCGTGGACGACACTGGGTCCTCTAGCATTTGTCATTTCAGTTAGTTTGCTTGTTCAGGGTTTAGCAGATGCCAAGAGACACAAGAGTGACAATGAAACAAATAACTTTCCTTGTGTGATTCTTCGCAGAGGGCAAGATATCGACAATGAAACTGGTGCGGAGCGCGAAACATCAATTTTGGGTGGCAAGGATGTTATCGTAAACCTTTCGAAATCATCTGATACGGTCCCCGGCAAAAAGGTCCAAGCGAAGGTTGGCTTTCAAAAGATTAGACGGATGGACATTCGTCAGGGACACATTGTTCTGGTTAAGAATCGCGAAATGGTCCCTGCCGATATGGTTCTCCTTGCAAGTAGTGGCGACAACGGTAGTTCATACATTGAGACAAGTTCCATTGACGGGGAAACGAACTTGAAGCTCCGAACCAGTCCACATCTTCCTACTAAGCTGTTGGAGCACCTAAGGCGTGGTAAATCCATGAAAGATATTGCAGAATCTTCAGAGGAGAATATTGATGTTGGCATAGAGTCTCTCGAGCAAGCAACTAAGCGAGTTGCCCGTGTCTCCGCCCTTGCCTACCCAAACGGCACATCAGTAATGAAGAATCCTAATTATAGACCTGACGAAGTACACGAGGATGAGCGAGTGGCCAAAAGAAGTTTTTTCGAACGTATGAGTATGGGTGTGCACGGTGCAGCTGGACGTGCAAGTATGGGATTTCACAACATGGCAGATAGAGCGAGTCACACATTGGACAATATGGTACATGGATCCGGTGGAAATGATGATACCTTTGAATTTCTAGATGAAAGATATGTTGCTTCTCTGAAGTCAGAGGCTCCAAATCCACATGTCAACACATTCTCTGGGCTGTTGGTTCTTCCACCGATTGAAGATGATGATTCTCCCTTTGAAATTTCTTTGGGTGCAGAAAACATTCTTCTCCGAGGTGCGGTTGTGCGAAACACTGAATGGGTTATTGGTCTTGCTTGCTTCACTGGAACGGACACAAAACTTGTACAGAACTCATTTGAGACTCCGTCAAAGTTCAGTCAGCTTGATGTACTGATGAACAGAACTGTTTTGTTTGTTTTGGTCATCATGTTTCTATGTATATCATACCTTGCTTCAATGGCAGTGCTTTCGAATCAAAGGGAGTTCGATAACATCTGGTAAGTTGGATAGGGCTTTAAGACTTGCTGTTTTTTGGTCGCAGCCTTGGCTCATTATTCTGGCAACACAGGTATGCAGGACTAAATACTAACGCTACAGCACCCTGGCCCTACCTTCCTGATCTTGAAGCTCCAGAATGGACACCAGACACTCAAAATTGGATTCAAATGTTCTTTCTCTACGTTACATTGCTGAGTAACTTTGTACCCCTGAGTCTTTATGTTACCGTGGAAATGTGCAATTTCTTCCTTTTGTATCTGGTCTATGTAGATGTTGAAATGTACGATGATCGAACTGACACTCGAGCTGTTGCGAGAAGTACCAACATCACGGATCTTGGACAGATCCAATACATTTTTTCCGACAAGACCGGAACGCTCACTCAGAACGTCATGCGATTCAAACGATGTTCTGTCGACGGCATGGTTTTTGGAGCTCCAATCCAGAAACAGCGTCCTGGGGCCGAAGAAGCGGAAGCAGGGTCTAAAACTGCGTTTCATCCCCTTCGTAGATTGTTGGTGGGACAATCAGTGGGTGAATCGAACGGGAAAAAAGATGATCAATTTCCCAATGAAGAGAGAATGACGTTCAATTCTGAGATGTTTTTGCGCGTCCTGAGTTTGTGTCACACAGTGGTCGTCGAGAAAGACCTTGACCTTTCTGATAACATTGATGCCTCCAAATCTGTGGCATCTCATGCATCGTCGACTTCAAATACAAAAAGAAAAGGGAAAAAGATATTTGGAAAACGTGATCGAGCTGCAAGCGAGATGAGTGCCAATTCTGCCGGTTACGGTTTGGAGAAGGTCACAGAAAACGAAGAAGCAGAATTTGGTGCGAATCGAACGAGGGCCCAGAGCACTGGTTCAGCCTCACTAGTTTCTGGGATACAAACGGGGAAGGATGGCGCTCCGGCAGGCTTTGCATATCAGGCAGAAAGTCCTGACGAGGGAGCGCTTGTTTCTGCTGCAAGCAAATCGTTCGGTTTTCAAGTCGTGGGTCGCGACTCGTCAGGTATCAAGATTAAGTGCTCTCACCCGACAATCTTCACTGATGAAAACATTGTGGACGACATCAAGAATGGTTGTTTCAATCCTGTCAAATTAGCGTCGGAATCCTCCTCAAATCTGGCTCCTGTCAAAGGGAACACTGTAGCGATAGATGAGCGCATACGTGACCCCAGTTCACAGCGTACGGAAACCTGGTCAATTCTTGCCGTTAACAAGTTTGATAGTGACCGAAAGAGAATGTCAATTGTCCTTCGGGCCCCGGCAGAATTTGGTGGTTTTTCCATGGTGCTATGCAAGGGGGCAGATTCAGCGATGCTTGATCCCAGTGTTGCCATAGGGGCGGAGAGTCTTGCCAACGATAGTTCTCGAGAGTCGGCAACATTGAATGTCGTCAATGAGGATTATGACACTGGGGAAGAAGCCGAATGGGTGTTTTCCCAAATGCTTGGCTTACAGACACATCTTGGAGAGTTTGCGTCGGAAGGTCTGCGTACCCTTGTCTTAGGTGTTCGTTTCCTTACAGAAAAAGAGTCCACTGAATGGCTTGAAACCTACAAAGCGGCCGCGACATCAATCAAGGATCGAGATGCCAAGCTGAAGGATGCTGCATTTGAGATTGAATGTAGGTTACATATCGTAGGTGCAACAGCGATTGAGGACAAGTTGCAAGATGGTGTTGGCGATACGATTGCCACACTCGAAAACGCTGGAATCAAATTGTGGGTTCTCACTGGAGACAAACGAGAGACAGCAATCGAAATCGGATATTCGTCTCATGTGCTTACTCCAAAAATGCATGTCACGGAAGTGGCAGATAAAGGCACATCTTTTGTGAGAGCTCAGTGTGCCATGGAATTCATGCGGCTGGTCAAGTCAGGACATTTACAGTCGTACCAGCGTTCTGAAGTTGATCAGTCTGATGATGGTTTCACCATAGCTAATGCTCTATTTGCTCTTGGGAAGTGTCGCCGAAGCTTGAGCCGGGCCTACGGCACACAAATCATCTATCTTCGACTTTGTTTCGCCAAAATTTTGGGCATGGACTGTTCTGGCTTGGAAGAGGCACTTGAATTAATCAAGGGAGAGCAAGGGAAGGAGAAGAGTATCTTAAAGGATGTTGTTCGAAGACGACATGTTCGAGATCGAGCAGAAAAGACAATCCAAGACTTTTTGAACTCCCCTGAGGGACAAATCTACAAGAGGAAGAAAGGGCTTAACGATACGACTGCATCAGATGAAATGACTGCTGATAACGTACCCTCTGTGTTCGCACATGCAAAGTCTGCGAGAGAGGTGCTTGAAAAGAGAAAGAGCGAAGGCAAATTGTCGGCTCAAGAAGTTAGAAGCTTATCAATTGCGCAACTCACAGCACATGAGATGGAGGGCGACCATGATCCTAATTTCATCGACGAAGATACGCTTTCTCTCACTAGTTTCTTCCCCGTATCAGGCGGGGATACCAGCGACTTCGATAAGCGTCGAAGGACAGTGCTAGAGCGCCTTTTTGCAGTCGATCGTGATGTCCGAAAAGGACGTCTTATCAAACATCTGAAGAAAGAGAAGAGAGTAGAAGCTCTATCATCACCCCAGAACAACAATGCGGCTGAACCCACAACAGATGAGACTAGAACAGGTGATGGTCCCCGTGCCCTCGTTATTGAAGGAGCTGCGTTGAAGCATCTACTTGGTGATCCGGAGTTGGAAGAATTGATCTTTGCAATTGCAAGCAATTGCGAAGCAGTAATTGCATGCCGCGTCAGTCCGAGGCAGAAAGCTCTCCTTGTTAGACTTGTTCGCCATAACGTAACACCAGAACCAGTCACGTTAGCCATCGGCGACGGGGCTAATGACGTTGGTATGATTCAGGAGGCCCATGTTGGTATTGGTATTTCTGGAAAAGAGGGAAAACAAGCCGTGAACGCTTCCGACTTCGCTATTGCGCAATTCCGATTCCTTGAGACTCTAATTCTTATCCACGGTCGATGGGATTTTTTCCGGCAGAGCATAGTTGTGCTCTTCTCCTTCTACAAGAATTCTTTGATGGCTGGTTGCCTTGTGGCGTTCAATGGCGAGACGCTTTACAGCGGTCAACCACTTTTTGACCAGTGGGTAATTTCAAGTCTCAATTTTGTTGCAGGATTTCCAATCCTTTTCTATGGGATGTTCGATCGTTGCCTTGACAAGGATTACATTCGTCGCAATCCTGAAGTATACCAAGCATCACGCGAAAACGAACTCCTAACGAACCGCGTTTTGCTGCGATGGATCATCCTGACCTTCGTGCATCTCTTTGCTATCTACTACGGAACAGTGTACTTATTGACCAACGGAGGCGGAGTGTCTTCTGCGTTCAAAGGCTTGATGGTTTTCGAGGACCCTGATTTCCCAGGAGATGGCGAAGGTGGTGATTTGCAAAGTGTCGGAACTGTGACATATAGCTGCCTCATCTTCACTTTGGCTTTGAAAGTACGTAGTTTCTTCGCTGTGTCTTCATCACCATACATTTTCAACTCACACCCTAGCTTGCAGGTTCTCTTCGAATCGAAGTCGATTATTAACGGAGAGTTTCCGCCTTTCACATGCTCCAAGAATTCCGGGGAGGGTTTTGCAAGCCGGATAGCATACACTTGGCTGGCACAAACATTCGGCTCGATCATATTCTACTACTTCTTCCTTTTCATGTATCATGTAAGTGTTGCTGCCTCAATTATCGTCGTTTGCTCTGAAAGTGCCTCACCTATACATCGAACACTTGCCTCAACAGTTGATCGGAGCGAATTCTGGGCCTGGAGAATTTTCGAACTTCGTTGCTGTTCCTCATAAAGTCATGGCACGGCGATCTGTTAATTGGCTCATTATGTTCATTGTCCCTGCATGTGCTATGGCATTTGACCTGTTTGGAAAGGTTTTCTCCAACATGTATTACCCGACACAAACTCAGATCCACATAGAAATCGAAGCAAAAGAAAGGGCATTGGCAAAGCAAAAGAACAGTAGACGATCACGAAGAAATCGTACTCCACAGAATGGCGAAAGAAACAACAACGAGACGACCGAACAAAGTGTCCCCGCTTCAGCATAAATATTCTAACTGTTCAAACCGAAATTTCCTATCATTGGTGTAGTGTTAAAAAATTGTTACAAGCTTAGAGAGTCGCGAATTGGATTCGAGCTAGAATCGCTTTCAGGCTGGGGATTGCTGCTTTGTGTTTTCTTTATCCTTGATGCCTCTGAGCTGTTTTTGGTATCTATCTGCGGTTCCTGCACCTTGTTATTTGTGTCGTCGTCTTTGTTCAAGTCTCGAGATGGTATGAACTCCTTTTCTCTATCTAGCTCGCCAGTCTTTTTCATCATATCACATCTCAGACTAGTTAGCGAAGGCAATTCGAAACCTGTCATGACATCATCTTCGATCAGAGGTTGCAACACCTACATAGAAAAGATAGGAATGGCTAAGAGGTCTGCAGTATCATGCAAAAACCAAAAAAAAGGAGGTTACGTACCATGACACCAGCTTCGACTCTCAAAAGCGTCTCGTCGTCTGGGAGCCATGCAAGTCTGCAGATACCAGTAGAAGCATCTGTAATCACACTTGGGCACTGTACATGAATGGAGCCCAATCGCAGATTCCAGCTGTCTACCGGTGTCACCCCTTGCCATGCATCTCCATCGTCCATTTCCTCAACTGCCCAGCCTTGGTTTCCCTTTTGTTTTCCCCAAGTCCACGCCGTGCTGATATTGCCTCATTTGTGAGTGATACATTATTTTTGCCACTATTGCTCATCATTGCAGGTTCTTACCCTTCGTCGCATCATCGGATATGACAATAAATCAGGTTTAGAAGGAGAGGGAATATCAGAACAAGGACCAACGAGAGAGAAACAGTACAGCTATTGTGTTGATTTACCTCCCCATTTTTTGAACCAATTGAATGGAGGGACTGGTCTATTGAAAATCGGATTGCCCTCCTTTGGCGGATTTGCAGCTTCTGTATCAGCCGTAGGTGGCGCGTCTCGAAGTGCTTCTCTGGAAATTAGGGCTCGGAACAATTTCAATCCTTGTGGTGGACAAGAACCAGGCTCAACACCCTTAATAAATTTGAGCGCAAAAGTAAAGTGGCATCTTGTTTTAACCCTTCGAACTACTCACCTGTTCCCACACGGGTGCGTGTTGAAAAATAACCCTTACTCTGCCATCCCCATGATTGAGAACAAGCTCAGTGGCCATGGCCCCAGATCTAAGCAAGGATGGTCCATTAACCATCGAACAAGCTGCGAATCGACTCTTTTTGAGATCAACAGGTGAATATTCTGCCACTGGTAAAGTCTTTTTTTCCATAGAGTCAAAGCATGTCGCACAGTCAGATCGTTTGGCTCCGACCACAATTGTGTGAGTATGTTGAATCTGGTCAGGTCCTGGGATTAGGTCCACGCTGGCGACAGTCTCGTCAATTACATCACCAATGAAGTTATATGTCGTCCAAATTCCCTTCCAGGATCCCTTTGCATGATGTTTGTTGAATAGTTCCCATTGTAGAGCAGCATCATCAGTTTCGGAAGGAGTTGATGTAGTGGTCAAGGAGCACTGCCAATCCTGGGAAGTTTTCGAACTTGTTCGAGGCTGCAAGGGAAGAACGAAACCGTTGGCAACAACAGACGAAGAGATAATCAGAAACGCTCTGCTTAAAGTTCCAACAGCTGTTGCTGATGGCATGTTGACGTCGTTTTTATCGTAATGATGGCATGAAAGTGATCGTCAACTTCCAGGTGTCAATTTTTGTTGATACCGATATTAGGGATATGGCATCGGTACCGGTATATTTGGGGATGGGGAAATCGATTTTTATCGTCCGTACTTGGTACGTACAGAACCGGCACTTGAGTTCCTGGAAATTCGAAATGACTGGAACAATGTCCCAATTTCTGTTTCGCCGCAGCATCGGCGAGAGAATCTTGAATCGAGCGACCACCGTTGTAAAACAAAGGGAAAAGGGGACACGCAATATTACTACAGCATCATACGAGTGTAATACCTGTGAAATAGTACATGTATAGACTGAGAATATTAGCATCATCCGGGAGAAAAGAGAATAGAGGGGACCTGCGAAGTTATTGAGCAAGATGGACGATGCCATGGATGTCGACCAAGAGATGCCGGTTGAGCAACCGAACGGGTATCAGCGTGCTCAACGTCGAGCCTCAATGTCGGAACAAGATGAACGGCAAAGGCGGGCAAGCATTAAGGCAATTCTTGCGGATACAAGTATATCAGCAGTCGAGCGAAGACGTTCGATTCAGCATTTGATGGATGGGAGAAGGAGCAGTATTGGGGCATCCTCTGCGACATCCAGTACTGCTACAGGTGAATCGAACCCATATGGATATGGCCCTCCCACTGATTCAAACCCTTATGGCTACGGGGAAGCAGAACCACGGTCAGCAAACAATAGTGATTACGGATACGAAGATCCCACCATCTGTCGTCCTGTTTCCAATGAGAACACAAAGAGAGCTGAACTAACTCGCCCACGTTGCGCTCACTACGAGCGCAACTGTTCGTTGGTGGCGCCTTGCTGTGGTGCAGTCTTTGGTTGTCGGATTTGCCATGACGAAAGTCCTGTTCTTCCGCCTCTCTTGATTGCAAAACAAGCGCAGCAAGCTGGCGCCCGGCGGCATCCAAGAAGTTCTTCCATGCCTGGTAGTTTCACAAGTATGGCCCCGCAATTGCCAGAAGAAACGCACCACAACATTGATCGATTCGCTGTTAAGGAGGTCATTTGCCGCGCCTGCTATACAAAGCAAAGTTCAAAAGCGTAAGTTTTTTTTCGGATAACGGGAAAGAGCTATCTTACGTTGTTCTTGATTTCATCTTTGTTCTCATATGTTTTACCTAATGAATGCAGGAACAATTGTTTGAGCTGTGGTGTACAATTCGGGGATTACCATTGCAGTACATGCAATCTTTGGATGTCGAACGATGAAAAACCATATCACTGCCCCGATTGTGGGTTTTGTCGTGTTGGTGGGGCAGAAAACTTTCAGCATTGTCATGACTGTGGGATGTGCATAGACAAAAGCTTGTACTCAAACCATAATTGCAAAAGTGGCAAATACAAGTCCAACTGTCCTGTCTGTCAGGAGTACCTATTTAGTTCAAGAAGTGCTTCGCATGAAATGCCTTGTGGCCATGCAATCCACTGGGAGTGTTTTCGACAACTTGCAGCGCATGACTCCAGATGCCCCGTCTGCAAAAAGACGGCAGAAACTCGGGAACGGATGATGCCAACATGGAATGCAATGGCTGCTGGCGTGGCCATGCAACCTGTGCCTCCAGAGCTAGCTCGTGTTGTCAATATAACATGCAATGACTGCGAAACGTCGGAGGATGCAAGAGCCTGGCACTTTCTTGGGGTTCAGTGTCGGAATTGTTCCTCGTTTAATACGGTTGTAGATAGGATCATTATGACTGGAGAAGAGGCACACGAGTTCTTGGAAGCTTTACAAGCCAGGCAAGACCTGAATGCAACTGAGGATGGAGACCAGAGGATTAGTCGACGCCGCATCAACAGGAGGCGCTCTCTATTCTAGTGAAACGATGACTTCAAATATAATCATTCTATTCTATTAGCGTCATGATACGGTATGATGTACTATATTCTGCGCGCACATATATTAGCAAACTGTCTGGAACTCTCATGGATTGGCAATATAAAGTGACCTCGGTTTGAAATAGCAGTCCACTTGACCTCTCGATTTGGAGGCAGACGGTCTCAATATCTCCACTTTCTTCCCTGCACAGACTCCTTCGAAACTTGATCGTTTTCTTTGTTTTGCAAATCCTGCCTCGATGGCGCCAAAAGTTTTTGGAGCACCGAGTTTCCTTCCAACTTTATATGGCCGCTGTTGGACACAGTCCTCTACAGATGGGGAGTCGACAACATCATCCAAAAAAGAATCAGTGCTTTCTCTCGAAGACGCGATACTCCGAGAATTCTTCCGACGTTTTCTCCCTTGCAAATCCAGTCTATTTTGGCCCGTCATTTCGTACTTCTGGGTATCCTTGACATCGGCGGGTTCCAAGGTGATGCGTCTCGCACTACTCTTCGCAAAGAATCTGCTCTCAGTCAATACTTCGTCAGCTTCGCTGCTTGCGTGAACTGTCAAAGGTGGCGAAAAATCAGAGTCTCCCAAGTCTGAGATGTAGTCTTTGTGCTGCTCCTGATTATGTATCGTGCACTCTGAAGTATCAGAGAGTGTCTTTGTCCCAGCTTGTTTCTCAACTCTTGAAACTATAATGCAATCATTTTCATCATGAATTTCATCGATTCGATACGCGTCGTCCGTGCCGAATACAACTGCTTCCTTCTTTCCATTGTCAGCAGCCATCAAGTCCAGAACACACACAGAGCCCGAATCATCCTCATCAGCTCCATATTCAAAGGCGCCAGCGCTGCATTGCGCCGATTTGCCCACCTTTCTTTCCGTCGATGATAAAAGATTCTGCTGGTTTCGCTGCCCGTGGTTCGAGGTGTCAGCTGTAAAAGTAGGAAAAACACGCTTCGCATATCGAGTATCAGGGAGCTCATTGCATCTCTGTATATTGGAAGTCAAAGTGTTTGTTTTGTGGTTGGATTTCAAGAAAAGATTCGTTGAATTGGCGTCACTGGAGTAAGGATTCTTCATTTTTGTCACGGGTTGGAACCATTTCGAAATGGGTTTCTTCGAACTGTTGGAAGGCTGTAGGGGTTTACGATTGTCTGAAGACGCGTGCTGGGGGGGCATTGCATTTCTTGCCGACTGCAGTCTGCTTGTATCAATTTCTCCAAGAAAGTTCAGTTCATCTCCAAATCGGCCGAGCAGTGGGGAGTGATCCGTAGCACAGTGGCCAGTCCCACTGCCTTCGTTTGATAGTCTTGGCACTGCAATATGTTTTTTGTGTCCGTTTGTGTGCAGTACCACGTGATAGTAGAAGACAGCTTCACTTTTCGCGAGAGTGGCTTCATAGGCGTCAATATCAATATTTTGTTTTGACTTCTTGGGCAATGATTCAAGTATCTTTTTAAAGCGGACTTCTTCATTGCGAAAACTGTGATTTCTGCAACTTTTCATAGAAGAGACTAAGCCCATACCTGGAAGAGAATGCGCATAATCACAACCAGCAAGAACGCATCCTTGAACAAAAAGTCTTGCACCAAACCCAGGACGTTTAGATTCGCGAGAAGCAAAGTTTAGGAGCAATCCTTCCAAAGCACTCCTTGCTTTTCCAATCTGTTGGACTTTAGGAGGGTCTAGCAGCCATGCCATTGATATTATATCACAAACTCCACTTGTTCTATCTAGCTTGAATATCACAGGAAACGCCACACGAGCAGCAACGCTATAAACAAGGACATCGCTATCCTCTGTTACAACAGCATCTGCCATTTGATCAACGCATAGCTTCGCCAATTGAGCATCAGCTTCGTATGGTGACCAAATGACTGAAACTTTTCTGCTGCCCCCGAATGCTTTTGACACTTCTGCCATCACCTCGTGAGTTAGCTCGTCTTTAATTTTTATGCACATTTTGTACTTTTCCTCCGCCTTGTCGTTTCTTCCGTTCCGCTTATAGACCCGCGCTTCTCGCAAGTTTTGTTGCCTTCGATGCTCACGCTCTGCCGATTCGTTGACTTTCAATGGACATCGCTTGCCGTCCATCACAAGAAAAATTTCGGCCACTTTGAAGACTTTTAGAAGCTCTTCGCATCTTTTTCTGATATACCTTGAATCAGCGAAGTTGTTTGAGCATAGGAAAGTCATAGCAACCAGGTTTTGATGCAAACTTACCTTGAAGATACAAGTATGCACTTGGGGTCAACGCAATTACGTTCTGTTGACTCAACATAGGTTTCCGATACCGAGTAGACGCTCTTGTGGAGCCACGACGATGTATCAATGGCTATCCGACGACCTTGGAACTGCGTCATGTTTCCTTTTTCCGTGCAGAATGATAGGCCCTTGTGCAGACCTTTGATTCCCATGCTTTCTAGTTCAGTTGTACAGGTAGACTGCTCGTATTTGTCTGCAAACTGGCCCGTCACTTCTTTGCCAGGGCAGTTGATCAAATCATGTTTTGTTGTTTGGTAACGTTTTTCAATTCCGATTTTGAAAACAGAAGTACCATACTTACACGTACAGCCTCCTACGTGATTTGATTTTGGCGCGTTCAACAACTGCGAATGGTACCACCGCATGGTGTACAGACTTTCAACTTACTGAAAAGTATATCATTTTCGATCGAACAGTGTGCCTGCGGTCTACGGATGGGCCAAAGGGATGGCATATTGTCTGCTTTTCCCACCATCTGCAGACTCTACCCTTGTACAATTATTATACGGTTACATCAGGTACTCCTGTAACGACGATACACTAGCAACATAGTGCCCATAGAAAAAGCTCAGGAATAATATTATTGTTGACACACTCAAGTAGTGAATCGAATCATTTTCTAGTAAATCCTATAGGCAGCAAGCAAAAACTGTTGAACTGAGCCAAGCACTGTTATTCCTTACTTTGACCCCAAGCTCCAAACAACCGCTAGTCAACAGAGGAACGTGAGATACCAAACATGCGAGCAAATACTGCGAGTATTCCAACCTACCTCTGCCGTCTTTCCCATCACTGCTGATTGTGCATCATCACTAGGGATCCAAGATGAAACAAGTTTCACCATCCCAGCGTAAGACGGCTCCTGTTGGAGTACAAATGGGAAGTCTGTTCCAAACATTAACCTATTCGGGCCGAAGGCTTGAAGAAGTGGTTCAAATCTTTCTTTTCTCACCTTCTCGTACGGGGCTGAGTCACCAAGGCGGAATAGAGCTGAGATCTTCACAACCAACTGAGGATATTTTGCAAGCTTCAAAAGCTCTTGAAACGCAGCATTCCCATCTTCAGAGAAGGATGTGAAACCAAAGTGATCCAGAATCATAGTCGTGTCTGGGCAGGTCTCTAGCAATTGAATAATGTCTTCAAGGTGCAATTGTAGACCACGAAAGCACATTATGCCGACAGGCATCTGGAGCTCCCCCGCTCTCCTAAATGTCACAAGGCCCGAGCCCTGGGACATATTCTCCCATCCGTCACCCTTACTTGGCCAAAGATATGGGTTAAATCGAACGCCAACAAAACCCTTCAATGCGAGTTGCTCCAATCGCAACACAGCTTCCTCCGATGACAAACTAGGATCATGCAACAGCATTCCTTTGAACTTTTCTGGATGTTCCTTGATCGCCGAGATAACGTAGGAGTGGTCGAACTTGTGATTGATCGGTTGCACAAGGAGAGAACCGCCAACTCCAGCAATCTCCATCTGCTCCAAGAGGGCCAACTTCGATGCTACGTCGGTGAGAGATTCAGGGGGATCTTGGCCTTCAGCGTATGGAAACGTTCTTGATTCTTTAGAACTCGCCCATACGTGAAGATGACTGTCAATAATATTGGTAGTCATTGCCATTGCACTGGAAGATAATTTCGAGTATGCCAAAGAACTAAACAGGACCTGCGAGATTTTCATTACTACTGGAAGAAGTGTTGGGTGAGTGATTTAGAAAATGTTACACTGCAGCACGATGTTCGGATGGGACTGACGTCACACACACGGACGAATGTCCGTCTTACTGTCCGTATTTTCTTCTTAACGATCAACGATATAAAAAACACCCATTATTCAAGTGTGCATTTGCCATCACTCCTGTACACGTATGTTGCGATCAACTTACCTCCTCGTTTTATTCGGTTTTCTTTTTGCAATTGAGGCAGTCAGAGCAGGACAAGATTTGTGGACGCTCCCACATGGGTCAACAGGTTAGTCGAATTAATAAAAATGTATGGTTTCTGAAGCTTGTCATAACTGGTTACTAAATTGTCAAATTCAAGCTGTTGTTACTGGTGGTACTAAAGGCATCGGTAAAGCCATTGTTGAAGAGCTCGGGGCCAAGAACGCGAAAATATTAACCTGTGCTCGCAGCAAAGAGGAACTAGTGAAATGTGTGCAAGATTGGAAAAACAATGGTTACGATGTCACGGGTGTAACTGCAGACGTGGCGTCTTCAAGTGGGCGAGAGGACTTGATGGCCGAAATCAAGAGCTGGCTCGGGGAGAGTGGAAAGCTGGATATCCTTGTCAACAATGTAGGAACAAACATTCGAAAAGCTTCGATAGAATATACAGAGGAGGATGTTCAAAAGGTATTCAACACCAACTTCCATTCCATGTTCTCTTTGACAACGGCTTGTCATCACTTGCTAAAGAGGGAAAAAGGTGAAAACTCTAGCTCTGTGATCAACATTGGATCAGTCGCAGGAGGTGAGTTTGCTTCGATGTTTCTTCCTCTGTTTTATCGTAGCACACCTTACAAAATGAAAACACAGTCACATGTATCAAGAGTGGAACCCCGTACGCTTCTACAAAGGCTGCCATGAATCAAATCACTGGTAATTGGGCTTGTGAATGGGGCAAAGATGGGATCAGAGTAAACTGTGTAACACCTTGGGTGAGTGACCTGTCTCCTGAACACTTTCGATGCAAGGAATCGGAGTCTCAACTATGTCGAACCACATCGTTATTTGTAGTACATCAACACCGAACTCGCAAAACAGGTCCTGAAGGACAAAAAATACCTCAAATCGGTTGTTGAGAGGACACCACTAGGTCGGGTTGGAGAGCCTCATGAAGTCGGTGGACTTTGCGCGTTCTTGTGTCTCCCGGCCGCGAATTACATCACTGGTCAAGTCATATCCGTTGATGGTGGGTTTACTAGACAAGGGTTCTACGATTCCTTCTGTTTATAAAGGTAGATATACAAGCGTTCGCACCAAAATCATAGCTCGTTACCATCTTGTTCCAAGCTTTACTTTAGTAGGGTTGCCACACAAAGGGGGCATGATCGCGCACGAAAAAAACTGCCCCACATATTTTTTTATTTACAGCACAGAATACTTTCCTCGAAACAATAAGGAAGCCTTTGCTACATGTCCTCACGCAAGGGGGAAACTGGAAGAAGAAAAGGGTCCGAAAAACATGGATATGTGAAAACAAAGAACGGTTTCAAGTTTATCGGCGGCGCAGCTGCTGTTCGTGCAGCTGCTGTTCGAAAAGGCCGGGGCAATCGAATTCTAAAACCAGGCGAAGTAGAAAAGGCCCAACAACTAGTCTCTGGTGGCTTGTCTCCTTTCGAACGCTTCTTTGCTGGTTTATTGAAGGGAGAGGCTACAGATTTTTTGAATAAGGGCGGAACCGCAACATGGAATTCAATTTGTAAGCGTCTCCGCCTTCCGTTCCCCGAAGAACCATTAAAGCATTATTATTGTGATCAAAGGCAGCATTTCTTGCATCGTGCGTCACTTGTAATGGAAGAAGCGAGATATGCTCTTGCAGAAGGTTTGACGAAAGTTCAGCGACTGTCGAGTGATGAAGAGAGGTTCAAAAGGAGTCAGAACAATCGAAACAGACGACATCAACGACACGGAAATGGGTCCCAATCAAATACCATGCTCCTTTCGCTTACCGGAGTCGAAGTCCGGGAGAAACACGGCTATTGTACATTAACCTTCGCCAAAGATCGTGGAACGTTTTCGCCAAAGGAGATTCAAAACTTGCGCCAAGGACAAATCTTTGCTTGTGTCAGCCAAAATTTGGCTCCAACCATTGCAAACTCGGTACTTGGTTGCATACTTGCATCGAATCGAGATGCAATGATAGATTCGAACTCTTTCTCTGTCGTTGTATTTAAAGCAGTTAGCAAGTCGCAGGAATCTACATGGCGGGTCACTCCAGTAGCGTCCTTGCTGACTGAGCAACGAAAGTTCGAAGCGTGTGTCAACAACAATACACACAACATTCCATTTCTGCTACCTTTGCTAGGAGGCAAAAAGCCGACACATATTAAGTTCACCGAAGAAGAAACTGGAGATATTTTGGCTGTGAAAGTAGAGGATGAAGAAAATCAGCAACCGCTGTATTCAAGAACTGAGTTGAACCAAGCTGGATTCCATTTGCCTACGTTGAATCCAACTCAAGAAAAAGCTGCCTTGACCTTCCTAAACTCGCAGCCGAATACGATAACACTGATCCAAGGTCCTCCTGGTACAGGGAAAACGACACTTCTAGTGAACACAATATGTCAGTATCTTATGGAGTCAATAGCTGGGAACAAAGCCAGGTGCCTAATGGTTTGTGCGCCCACAAACAAAGCTGTATCTGTCCTTTGCACTCGATTTTTAGACACATTCAAGAATATTAACCAACTTCCATGCAATGTGTTGCTGATTGGTGATGATGACAAACTTCTTGATGACGAGAATAGCCGGAATTTTAGATGTGGCGGAAAGTCTCCTCTACGGTCAATCTTTTTGTACACCTGGATAAAGACAGTGGTGGATCGTTTGTCAGAGATTAGTCAATTCCTTGCTCGACCAACCGCGAAAGAAGCACTGAGAGTAACCAGCCTTTCGAAAAGACTGCTGATGCAGCTGCGACAAAACCTGTCGCAGTTCCCTCAAGACCTCGGAAAAGCTTTCGACAGAGTAGTTGAACTTATGGAAGATGGGATTGAGGCTGGCCACAGAAATCAAAAAGAGGCATTCAATACGATTGAAGCCATGAAAAGTGAGATTTTGGATTGGAAACAAGATCTTATTTGGCAAGATCTCCTAAGCTCGGCGCACATCATCTTTTGCACTTTGGCAAGCTCCGGAGCTGGGATCCTCAAACGATCTATTGGTGAAGTGGATGATCTGATTGTGGACGAAGCAGCTGCATCTTGTGAACCTGAGATGTATATTCCATTTCATTTTAGGCCACAACGACTGTTGGCCGTCGGAGATCCTCGGCAACTCCCTGCGACGGTTATGAGTAATATTGCAGCTGACAGAGGTCTAAGCAAAAGTCTGCACGAGCGACTCATGTATGACGCAGGATACCCCCACATAATGCTCGATGTTCAATATAGAATGAAGCCTGCAATCTCGCAATTTCCATCAAAATTCTTTTACGATGGGAAAGTCCGGGACAGCCCCAGTGTCATGAGGTAAACACAACTTTTGGAGGAAAAAGAGAGATGACGTACCAAAGGTTTTCTAAGTATTTTGCTGTGCTCTTTCTTGATAGCGACGACTGTCCACCCGATCTATTGCTCAACGGAGAGAATCTATCTTTTCTGCAAGTTAGCGGAACTGAAAAGCAATGTAGGTTTGGCTCATTCGAGAACTACGCAGAAGCGCAAGCAGTGGTGAAGCTCGTCCAGTCAGCATCCCGAAGAATGCATGGTCAATGGCAGAGTGCGGATCGCATTCGAATTATAACGTTCTATACAGCACAAGTATTGCTAATTAAGCGCTGCCTTCGCCAATGCCGATTGTCAGACGTAGTAGTGGCTACAGTTGATTCAAGCCAAGGAAGCGAGGCTGATATAGTCATCGTTTCCTTGGTTCGCAGTCATGGTAGCCCAAAACATTCCAGCGTCGGTTTTCTGTCTGATGATCGTCGGATGAATGTTGCAATCACCCGAGGTAAGGGTCGCGACTTGTCATATAATATACTGTTGGTCAATGAATTGTAACCTAACTGGAAACCAGCGAAATACCAGTTGATATGCGTCGGAAATGCAGAGCGAATGGCTGCGCTCACTAGCCCGAAAGCAAAGACTATTCGAGCTCTTGCAATAGACGCAATCGACCGTAACTGTCTTTTGCGTTCGATGCATACTAGGAACAGCGGTCCGAATAAACGCCAACGTGCAGATACCAACAATGAAGGGAGGGAAAAGAGGGTACGGTCGAGAGAATCTATACCAGACAACACTACAAAAATTCCTTTATCTGACAGCCACCGCGTCAACTCAAATGGGCTCATTGATGAAGACACAAGTGCAAGGGAGGACGACAGGAAGCAAAGCAGCGAAGACCAGCATGAAAACGAATCGAAGAATGAAAAACGAGCGTCGGGGACGCGTCTAGGCAACCCAAAGACCAGAGAAATACCAAATTCCTCTAACTTTCGGAATTCAAACGACAAGAGATCATCCAGTGGAAACGCTGTGCAACTTCGTCCATGCAGTGCGAGCACGAGCAGCAGTAGTAGTAACAGCAGCAGCAGCTCATCCAGCGACAGCGATCTCAGTGGACAAAACGAGATCCCGTCCATCGTCCGAAGCTCAGACGTTTGCTCCCCATCTCGCTCGCTAGAGAACATTTCAACCAGATCAGAGGACAGGTACGACAACGATCCCTTCGAACGTTGCAGTCAAGACGAATTTAATGATCCTATTGCGCAAGACAGCAATGTCGGGGATGAAGAAACTGCAGCCATTCAAATCGAGCATAGCTCCAAGTTTTCCGTTCTAGAAACTAGGTCATTGACCGCAGAGTCTGGAAGATCTGAAATACCGCTTGCGCTGGATACTGCAATGGTAATGTCAGATGACAGTGCTTCATATGGCGACAATCGGTCTGAACTGGAATGGAACTCTGATGAAGTTGGCGGCAATAATGAATCTCGAACCAACATGGACATTGGAAACAATCGCGATGCTAACTAGCTGAAACCCATATAAGACCTCGTACATAGTGCTATGAGGGATGTTGACGGTGCTTGAGATAGAATATTGCATTCATAAAGCTAAACTAGTCATTGAATTCTCTCATTACGATATGCACCCCATCCATGATCACCAGCATAGAGGCGTATGGCATCGATGGTCTGAGCGCAGGTCTTGACATAAGCGTTCCCAATGAGATTGCTCCAGCGATTCCAATCTCACCCCACTCTCCTGGCTGGGCAGCTACTCGCAGCCCATATTTGACTACATGGAAGGAACCAAAGAACACTCCAAAAACGGTGGCCGATCTAGTCATACCCTGCAAAATGAATCTTCCTTTTGCCATATTGGATGCTTTCATCAAAACGTCTGATCGACCAGCTCCATTCATCCCATCCATGAAACCAAACACAGATCCTGTAATGGCTCCAATCGTTCCACCAAAAGCTGCATTCTTGGCCAAATCACCCCATCGGAACGGAATCTTAAATTCATTGATTTCTTGCGCCGTTTCGTCAGCAGACGAAACACCATTCTTAGTTGCATCAAGGGCCATTTGTTGAAGTTCCTTTTCTTGCTTGTCAGCTTCGCGTTGTAAGTTTCGTAGTATCCGTTCCTTCTTGTCACTGAGGTCTGCGCCGTCCTGGGGAATTTGGGACCAGGGAATAAAACGAGCTCTTTCCCATGATGACATGAGTGCCTTTGTTTGAATGTTGGTGTGTCCTCTTTATTCTGCACAAGAGTGCGTACCGGTATGTTGATTTTGATGTCGAAGTTGCCATTCTAATAGTTGAAATGCAAATGCGGGGACAGAAGGACAAACGACGATCATTTTCCAAGATGATGAATGAGAAAGCAAACGAAAAAGTATTAACTGGTCAACCTCCATAGTACCGGTACAGTCTCCTTTACCACAAACCCCAACCCTCAGCGAAGGTGGATTATTCGTCCATTTGTTCTCTGGGCTCCTCTCTGACAGTCAAACAATGATCTGCAGTGGCAATGATTGTTCAAAACCAAATTTTCTGCAACAGCTCAATACTGTCAAGCTCAATAATTCTTTCCTCGAGCGCTTCCTCAATGACATTCTCTTCTGGGAACAAGAAACCACTGATTTGTGGGCTCATCCATATGGTTCCAAGAAGCGTCGAAAAAAAGCAGGCGAAAAAGTACTAGGCGAAAAAAGCAATGGCACCCACAGCCGCCAAACTACCCGTGACGATGAAATTGACGAAATTACGATAAATGCTCTTTCGAATTCGAATTGGAAGACAGCCAATGACCCACGAACCGGGAGACCTTACTATTATCACTCAAAAACAAGAGTAACTCAATGGCAGAAACCAGCGGAGGTTAAGGCACTGGAAAAGAAGATTCGACAAGAAAAGAAGAGACAAGACGCCAAATTCTTTCGAGAGATGGAGCAGAACCTTCATAAAAGTATTGGTCGAGGAGAGCTGATTCCTGGTATTGGCCGCGAAGAGATAACGAACCAAAGTCCACCGCTAAAGGGCAAAGAAACCTCGCCACAGCGAAAACATGTGCGTACGATATCCAGAATGGACGCGAACATTAGTTTCGAAGAGCTTGGAGATGATCGAGGGGCATCTCGTATCGTCCCAAAAGCAAGCAGACATACCGGACCGCTACACCAACAAACGTTATCGGCAAGGCAACTTCCATGGCCAGATCACCCAGGAAAGCCCCCGCTCCCGAAGATGCCAACAGTAGCGAGGACGAATTCTATGGAACTATCGCCCGAAGAAGAAAAAAGAGAACACAAAATTGTTACACGGGTGGATTCTGGAGTGTCACTTGCCGGTGAAAGCTTGCTTGACGCTCCGCTACAAAGCACATACGATGTGTCAGAGCTAAACATGCCTCCGAACATGCGATCACAAGCACAAACGCATGCACGAAGGAACACAGGAGGCACCATATTTTTGGAAAACACCATGACCAGACCAGACATTCATGCAACTATCAAATGCGTCTGCGGCGTCTACAGACGCCACATTTTACAGGGAGTCGAACAGCAGATAACTGGTAAGAAAGGACAGTACGAATCACGACATAATATGGATATGTTTTTGGACTATCGAACTCCTTCTCCCAGGCAACCAGAACAACGAATGAAAGTTCCGACCCTCTCTGAGGTGCTTGCGTTCTACAAGGAATTCTTTGTGCGATCCAAGATGGAGCACGATACAATTATCATGAGTCTGATATATGTCGAACGGCTTGTCAAAACAACTGATGGGCAGCTGAATCCAAACCCAGATAATTGGCGGTCAATTCTATTTGCTTGTATGGTACTAGCGAGCAAAGTATGGGACGATCTGAGCATGTGGAATGTCGACTTCTCGAACGTCAGCACGAACACAGATGGTCTCTTTTCATTCAGTCTTCGCAGGATCAACGAACTGGAACTACATTTGCTTAAGAGTCTCAAATTTGATGTCCGAGTTGGAGCCTCCGAGTATGCCAAGTATTATTTTTTGATTCGCTCCATGCTCATTCGAAGTGGTTTGGTTCAGGAGAGCGAGCGCCCTTTGAGAAAGACAGAAGCATTCCAAAAGCTAGAGGCCAAAACCAACACGTATCAAGTAAATCAGCTTAATGCGGTTGGTCAGAAGGACCGAAGATCTAAAAGTATGGACGATAGCTTTTGGCGGTCGATCGCAACGAATGCGCAAAGTGGAGGTCCTGTTTTCAGTGACTCGGTTTGTTTGGAGCAGATTATAGCTTCTAATCGCTAGAGAGTAAGTTTTTCTGTTTCTGTGAAGGCGGAATTGAAGCTTGTCTATTTCGGGCGGATTGGGTGTTGGGGCCAAAAGGGGAATCTTTACACACAATCATTCGTACCGGTGCAGCATTCCGAAAATATTGAATGCTCTGAGCCAAGCTCCGAGTCAGTATCCACACAAGACCGATTTCGTATGTTTTGGCTGTTAAATCGCGGTGCAATCCCACCCGTTGTGACGTCCTCGTGTGCAAATTCGATGCGAGCATAATGCCTCAGACTCTTTTGGAAGTGACAAGGCTCCTGCTTGCGGTACTCGTGTGGGGTAACATTTGCCAATTCGTAGACGCACAAGTATACAGGTTGGGATCCCGTCACATTACTCAGGGGAAATGGTCGGCATCCCGGAACGTTCATGGTCTTCCATTTTATCCAGTCCATGTATGCATTCCAGAGACACATTGTGAACGTGTCTTCTGTGTTCCAGTCAACAGATCCAAATCCCATCCTCCTCCGTCTTCGAACAGATTCAGGAGATTCGTGTAATTCTTGCCCTAGTATTGGTGCGTCGGATCCTGGCTTTGTCACGACCACGCGGTCCATGCTTGCTTCGACTGGAAAGGAGAGATGGGTTTTTTCATAATCCCCACACCGTATTTGTTCATCAGTAAGATGTTTGCTACCAAAAGAGTAGTGAAATCCAGAGTTGATCCTCTTGATCATTCCAAGTATCAGTCCCACCAGACCCCTTGTAAGCCGGGGAACCTTGATGGTCGACGCCGTTTCGCATCCAAGAAAAAGTGGGCCTTTAGGCAATTGCTTGAACTGAATTTGAAACTGGAACTCAAATCTGCGTTTGTAATCCTTGAAATAATTTGAAATGGTTGCCGGAACTTCACCAAGCGGTTTCGGTTCTGCACTGTTGTCAACATCCGGCGTGCGAATCATCAGCATGACTTCGCCACTGAAGTATTCATTTTCAATATGGAAAGGCTGCCCATTTGGAATCATTTCTTGCGCCGATCCACAGTCTACGATCGAAACCTTCTTCAACGCTTCGTGTTGGCCACAATGTGAAATGGTGTTGCCACAGCTATCAATTGTGGAATGAGGAAAGGAATTTTGAGGGTGGAAGGTTTGAAAACTCCCATCTATATTGTCATTTATAATGTGAGTGGTTGCAGATTCATTCATCATCATTATTATTGTTATTGTTTTTGTTGTTGCTACTCTTGTGTGTCAAGGCTGAATGATGAATCATGGTGATTTCATCCTTCCAATTTTCCAATTCGGGTCTTGTTTGATTTCATCTCCGAATGAAACTGTCATCAATAATCTGAAATCATGCTTCGTGATGTACACGCGTCCGCCGCGCCTTACATCTACACAACTACACGTACTACGTACCGTACACGTGCTGTAATAAAAAAATATATTGATCATTTTGATTCATTCGACCAATGACTCTTGTTACGATCAACAAAGACTCAGAGCAGTCACTGCTGGTCGAAGTTCAAAGCTGCTTTCAAGAGGACGTCTTGAATTATCATCCCAGATAAAGGTCTATTATACTGTAGGGTGAAGGTGCGCTGTGGACAACAATATTGCTTCAGCCCTGCTCAGTCTCCAAACATTTGCTTTTCTGTGCAAGATCACAAGGACAGCATGCCAGACAAAGGACAATGGAAAAGTGCGGAGGATCCCAAATCCGGGAAGACGTACTATTATCACACTGTGACTCGAGAAACGCAATGGCGCAAACCCCTGGAACTTGCTAGCGACGAAGAGAAACGCAAAATGGCAGAGAAGGAGGCAAAGCAAATGGATTTCTTTGCGGCGATGGAGGCTAATATCCTCAACTCGTTGTCTCAAGGCGTTCTGCCAGGATCAGGAACAGAAAACGAAGTTCAACGACTCGCAAGCCGCAAACCTTCTCATAGGGAAGGCCGACCTGCACTGGAACGAACTATTAGTGCCATGGACGAAAGCGTGCTCAAGGATTTGATTCGTCGGCAACCTTCTATTCATCAAACGAAAAAGGTAGAATCCATACAGTCTACAGTATCCTCGTTAGGAGGTTTTGAATCTATCATCCGTCAGCCTAGCCGTCTAGCGTCAGTGAATGAAATGTTTAACGATCTCCCAGATGAAGAAAGTAACAACTCTGAAGATAACGCAGACTTTGATGGAAATGCGTCGAACCGGAGTGATGGAGGGGCACTTAACGCATCGACTTCTGGATTTGGTCTCAGTTGGGGGGAGACTGCAGCATTGAAGAAGTTGGGAGCAATTGCTAAGGAAATGAAGGATGCCGGGGATGAAAAGGCCCCCAACAAAACCCACGATATCAAGGTCGAAGGAAAGGATACTTCCAAGATATCTGCATCTCCTGTGCTTACCAACGGCACTCGAAGGACGAAATCCGAGGGTGTTTTTCAGAAAGCGAAGAACATTGGTGGCCGGGATCTTGACTTTGATCCTTCCGATTCTGATGACGACGACGATGGAGATGATGCTGATCGACCTACCGTCAGACGTCACAATACATGTGGAACTATGTATCTGAAAACCACAATGTCTGCACCAGATGTTGATGCTACAATCAAGGTAAGTGACACCAATTTGTTTGCGTTCTCCGAATTTTTAATGATGGTTACTCAACTTTTACTTTCGTAATGTTGCTACTAGTGTGTCTGTGGTGTCTTCCGTACTCACATACTGACTTCCGAACTCGTGGATCCGGAAACAATAAACGAGTATGAAATTTTCAATGACCTCCGTGGCGGCAGTAGCAGTGGAAATACTGCACCACCATCATTGGATGTAGTCACCACCTTTTATCGTGATATATTCTTGAAGGCGCAAATGGAGTCGGACTGTATTATCATGTCTTTAATTTATGTGGAAAAGCTAATCAAGCGAACAAGGGGAGCACTCCGCCCTCGGGCTTCAAACTGGAGATCTCTCATCTTTAGCTGTATGATTCTCTCGAGTAAGGTTTGGGATGACTTGTCAATGTGGAATGTGGATTTCAGCCAATCTTGTCCAAAGGGAGTGAGCTTCCCACTTCAGCGCATTAACGATCTGGAAATCAATATTCTCAAAGCGTTGGGGTTCCAAGTGAAAGTTCCTGCCAGTGAAGTAAGTTTCTTCGTTTACTTTGATTTTTTTATTCCGCATCAGGGAAGCGGATTGTTGAATCGTTGCATACAACAGCTTTGGCTAACCTCGATCTGATTTTGTCTTTTCCGCTGTGAATTTTTGTCACACTTTTTCAATCCAACCAGTATGCCAAATACTACTTTTTGCTTCGCTCGATGATTATCAAGAGCGGTCTGGGAGGTGATGAAATGACGAATGTGCTTGATGTGGAAGGTGCACGACGCCTACAGCATATGTCGTCACAGTTTGAGTCGCTTTCAACCAACAGCGCCAGAACTAGCTTCGAAGCTGGAAACCGAGCTCAGAGTTTGAACCCAAATATTCTCGGTAAAAACACCAAGGAGAGAAAGAGTGTAAAAATGGGTCTGGAGCACATAGTTGAGATGTAAAGGGCTTCAAAAAATAGTTAACGGAGTCGTCATAGAATCCTGAGCGCTTTCTTTTCTTTGGTACAATACTTGTACCAGG